AAAAAAGCAAAACTTAAAAGAGAAAGAAAATCTGACAAAACAAATTTCGCGCGCTTATGGTAAATGCTTAAAAAAAAAAAAAATTCCAATAAATTTTTAGTAAAATTTCCAAGTGTATCCGACTTAGACATTAAGGAATAAGGTTCAAATAAAAAAAATAATTTTAATCACAAATATATAAATACAAATAAATAAATAATTTAAAATAAAAAAATTACATCGTTATATTAATTTTAAATGAATTTATTTAACTCTTAATGCGATGGTAAAGTGCTTTTTGATGACAAAACCAATAACAACTTCATGTTAAAAAAGAATAAATGTTAATCATACGTCATAGGCAAGAAATGTTTAAAGCAATTTTTCAAAAGAGAATTAAACACAATCTCAATGTCTCTCTCTCGTGCATTTTAATGTATTTCATGAAATGAATCGAAAGGATATTAAAAGCTTCTGATCTCAGCATATCTGTGTGAATGTAAACATTTTAAAGATCTTCCTTTCACTTAGCATTTCTTGGTGATTTAACGATAAAGACTTTCAAAAATTTTACAAACGAGACTTAAAGACTTATGCTTGCACACACACACACACACATATTACAAAAAAATATCTATGAAATTGTTGATCATACGACCTGTACGTAACTTTGTGTATGTAAATTTGAAAAGAAATTTAGTTGTGCCTATCAAGAGCAATCATACGCCTAGTAAACTAGTTTCATTCATTTATTATTTGCTTATTTCCTTACGTGAACAATTTTTTTAATAATTCAAAATTAGTTAGACTTCGATCAAACTTTTAGCTTTAGGAGCTTTTCAAAAAAAATTTCTTAACAAATTAGAATTAAAGTAAACACATTTACATTTTATACATGTCCATATTATGCATGTTGATTATTATTATAAGTTAAATAAGTAAAGTAAGAGATTTTTTTAAGAATTCTTATCCGATTTTCTTTTTATGCGTTATTGTTACAAGTTAAATAATAAGGGAATTTTAAAGAGTCTTCACTAAGGCTTTTGACATTTGTTTTTTGCAGAAATTTTCATTATTGTTATAAGTAAACTAAGAAAATTTTAAGGAATCGTTGCTAATGCTACTCGCATTAATTTTTTGTAGAAATTTTCATTATTGTTACAAGTTAAATAATAAGTAAACTAAGGGAATTTTAAAGAATCGTCACTAGTACTTTTCACACTTTTTTTTCTAAAAATTTTCTTAAATATATTTTTGTTTATTATTTTGTTTTTGTACCCTATATGTGATGTTCTAACTACTTTTA